AACTCACTACTGCAGACGACACAACAAATTCCACATTACCACTGCAAACATTAACAACCCACAGGGTTAAGTTCGGATCCAAAAAGAAGAAGAAAAACGTTCCCCATAAATGCGATGATGGCAATGAACGAAAATGGACGTTTGCATTGTTACATCCGAGGTGCGACATTCAAGAGTGTGAATGACAAAACCTTGTAGCCGACCGTCAATTTCCGACCCGAAACCACGTAATTTAAGCCTTCGCAGTGTCACATCCTCCCCAACTCCGTATTTCCCAAATTCATCATATTCTCGTTGTGGCCCAAATCAAAAATATAAATGACTGCACATTGGGCGGTGCGCCAGCTGTAACATTCAGGTCCGTGCTCTGTCATCAACAATCCAAACGGAACGTGCGTGCCGCGAAAGCGGGGCTGACGGCTCTCTCTCTCTCTGTCGAGAGGGGGTTATATTCTTAGGTTTTTTCGGTAAAGTCACGTAGGTAAAAAAATTAAAATTAATAAAAGTAAAATAAAATAAAAAATAAAAATCACGACGTTTCGGAGGCAACACAAGCTTCCGTCTTCAGGTGGAACCGTCACAGCCACGACAGCTGTATCAAGTAAATGAGAGATTACAAGAGCAGTCACGAAAGCTTCAAATCGAGAGGGGGTTACACTGGAGGTCGGAAAGACAAGGGTCGTTTGTGTGGCCCTGCGCGGCGACAGCTAGTTATCGTGGATGATTCCAGTCATCTTCTTACGGGGGGGGGTGACAGAAAGTCAACGCAGCCGTAATGCATAATCCAACGTAATTAGGGCATGCACTCAATATTTACGTACGGCAGTTTAATCAAAGATGATCGTGAAAATAATTCGCGAAGGCCCCCAAAAAATACGCAACGGTTGTTCATTTCACGTCAATGTCTCAGTTAATGGCCTAATCGGCCACAACTAACAGAGACGTAGTATTAATCACGCAAAATGGAGTCAACTTCACGAGAGGCCACGTTACCGAGAAAGTTCAACTCAATCACATCGGTGGAAATGTAGCAATAGCATTAATTTTTTATAGCAATTATCATGTCTGTGAAAAGGAGCAAAAATAAATATACACTTTTTTGGCACGTGAAAAGTTCACTATTAAAAGCAGCCAGTTTCCCATCAAATAATCTAAACTGTAAAAAGGGCAAGCAAGTGTGTCAAGTTCTGCAAAAGTAATTTAAGCTGTACGGGTCGCAGTACGAGTCCTGCCTTTGAATGGTTGTTCTTGGCAGCATTACAGACAGCAAGCTGTTTTGAGTAGGATGTTTCAGATTAAAGGATGTCTCGGTCTGCTTCGTCCAGCCATTGCAAATGCTCGACAAAAAAAGATAATTGTATAGTGCATGTGACAGTGTAGACTGGCCAAAAGGTTTTAGACACAAGTTCCAAAATAAGCAAAGCTGACCATGCATATGCACGCATGTACAATTATTTGTGCGAGGTGTTACACCGCCTCTTTTTCGTACCTCTGATAAAATAGGTGTGCATCGAGGGTTCCTGCAACCGATGCCTAACCAGGTTTAAAATGAGAACCATGGGGTGATTCGTTGTAAGTCTAGCCAGTGCAAGAACATCAAAACCACGCAAAAAAAAATCTCTCACACGCTGAAGTGGTGGAGCATCGAAGAGTTGGCTCAACATTGACCTCTTGTGTAACTTTCAAAAATTACATGCTCCAGTCCTCACCAACGTACTGGACATTTCTCATAAGAAAAAGGGGGTGTTGTAAATGCATTCAACATTTCAGAGGACAAAGCGGATTCTTACGCAGAATTTATACGTTCAACAGCGCTGTTTGCAAAGCGTGGTTTTCAGAGCCTAAAGAATGGCGAATATCAGTGAAATGCATTTTCGTTCATATTTCATAAATTTACATCAAATTACCTAATGAAATGTATCGTGTTTATTTTATTCAACCAAAATACGCCACTACATAAGCAGTAGGCTTATATGATGAATTGTATTACTGTATGAAGTATTTAAAAAAATGTAACATGAAAAGAACAAAAAACATTACATACTACTCCCTCAGTTGCCATGAAATTGTATCTCCTTGTTTTAGCGTAATTCAATACCTGTAGCATTGCAATTAAAACATACAGCAGAGGATTTTTTTTAATAGCCACCTTTGGTATTTTAGTACACCACAGTTCACTTAATGAGAGTCACATGTTGAAGTTATATAAGGTTACACCTAAACAAAGACACAGCCGCTGCGTCGAAAAAAAAATTTGAGGGGGCCTGGAAAAAAATGTACGCGACTGATTGCTCGCAGGATGCAATGTGTCAGACATCATAATACTTACACACCGCATTTATGCCCGGAGCCACTGTAACACACTGGACATCCATTCAACGTTGCTCTTAAACCAAAGAGGGTGGTGGTTATGGGGGGGGGAGAGGTTTTACGTCTTTATGCGCAACTGAAGAAAAAGCATGTTAACTGTTAAGAGCTTGCAGGGAATAGTAATACTAAATCTCTAACGAGCCGTTCTTCAAGCTAACAAGTTGCTACAGCCTATAAAAAAAAAAATAACCGTGCCCGGGACAATGTCAAGATGTTCCCAATCAGTCATTTTTTATTCAATTGCTCGATCAACATCTTCGGGGTGAACGTTACACACATATATATGAAGGGGAAAAAAATCCCATCGTGTTTAATACAGACCCGCCGCCAGACGACCGCCCGAACGTTCACGTGAATGCATTCCTCGCCGCTGGTCTGCCACCTTTCAATGCGCGCGCAGGCTAAAATCACGGCGGGCTACGGCTAATTGTTAGCAAAACAGCCCCTCTCATTCCCCCCTCCCTTGTGGAGAACGAAAGCTTGAAGGCTATCGTTGCTCCCAGGAGAGGCCGTGGAACAGCTGAACCCCCCCCCTCCCACCCCCCATTTGGATGACGGCTGCACACGTTTCGCGAGAAGCCATGCACGGGACCCACAACCGAGACCATTCAGCTCGGGAGGAGGAGGGGGGAGGCTCGCGCAGCCACATCAGGTCACACACACAAGGCACAGCATTTAATGCGCCAATTTCAAGGTGCCTCAAAAAATTAAACATTAACCTGTGTGGTCAAAAAAAAAACCCAGCCAGCGGGTGATTAAAACATCGGTTGCCAAATTCTACTTCAATTAGGAGGCGGCGTGCCTGCAACAAATTTTTGCAATTTCATGCCTATAAAAGAGTTCCACGTAATTTCTTTGGAGGTTTATTTTTCCGTGAAAAAAAAAATCCATGTCTTGTAATGTCATATTGTGAATAGAACTATTGTGTTTGGCAAAACACAATATCTGAAGAGCAGTACTTCTGATATTGTAATTTAGTGGCGAAATGAAAACAGTGGAAGAATACAAGGCTGCGTTACGAGATTGCTAAAAGCGCATAATTTTGTTGAAGCATCGATATGAGCTCTATATTTCTGAAAAATATACTTGCAAAAACAGCAGCACTAATTTTTTTTACAAGAATCTGCCATTAACAATGACTCTCCAACCTAATGCACCATCCAAAACAACCCACCAGATTATGTATCAGCCAAAGTCAATGAAACATCACTTTCGCAATGAGCAGCATAATCTACAAAGCCGCACCTTGTGACACTTTGGATCATGAGCATTTAGTCATGCACGTCACACGCTTACGGAGTTATAAACTACATTTTAATTATTAACCAAATTGCTCTAGTCACACCGAACAATCTCACTTCCCAATAATATACTGCGTAGTAAGGGTGACCTTTGGCTAGCATCAATGCCATCTACTTAATTGAGCCACCTAGCATTCCGTGCACAGATAATTGAACAATGGACCCTCTTGCATTTTAGTTGCTGGGCTGAATCTTCTTTCGCAGCATCTTACAACAAGTCAACCTTTGATGACCCTTTACTGGGTCACTAATCTACAATGGCCTTTGACCTGCACCCTTAAAATTTTCGGCAGACGGGAGTACTTTTATCTGATTGAGGAAGCACTGAGTGTCTTTTTCCTGTTTGTTAGAAAAGCAGCATCCTATGAGCCCACACGGTGAAGCTTCCAGTGTCAGGTTACAAAGCCAAAAAATATATAAATGAAAAAAAATGTCACGAAAAATTTAATGTCAAAGGGTCAGCAAATATCCATGTGGACGTGTTCAGCGGTGTCAAGGGAAAGCAGTTCAACGAAATGCTTTTCCTCTCCAACTTAATGCGGGCTCTCGTGAGACTGAAAGCAGCAGCATGAAGCCAGCTGCAGCAGCAGCAAGCCAGCTACAGCAGCAGCTCCGTGACCCAAGGAAAATGGGCTGTAAGTGAACTTTTAGTATATAACCTCAAGTTATTTATATTGCCCTGGCAAAGGCCTAGTTAAAAACACAGGTCAACCATTATGAGAGAATTACAAACTGCCAAAAATAATTGCCGCTCTCTGATATGAAACAGGGCACCGTAAATGTGCGTTGTAATTATTAACAGATGTGTAAAAAAAAAATCTCTAGCCTTTTGGCCTCGGTGTTCTAAATAATAATTTGAGTCATTAGGGGTATCTATGCATTTTTGTAACGAGGGCAAAATAGCAACAGGTAATGACAGACCTGTTACGTCGCTTAACTGTGCGACGAGTCTTAAACGCCGTTGAACCAGGTTCAACAACAAATTCTCAATTGATCACATCGGCTGAGGGGGTCGTTTCCTGAGCAAATTATCAATTTTGTGGCTAACCCAACATTATTATTAATAAGACTAACCGATTTAGTGAGGGTAGGAATGAGGGAGGGGTGCACGGAGGCAAGCGGGAGAGGATGTGGGGTTTGGGTACGAGTCAGGGCAGTGATTAAATTACAAAAACATGAGTATCACCCTCCCACCCCGGGTCCATAAATAAAACTGCATTTAATGGTGCACGAGCGCAGACGATCATGTCTGTGATTAATTGAGGTGCAGTTAATTGAAGGTTTAGCATATTAACAAAAGTGCAATAAAAACTCTCAGGACATCGTTCGCAAGGCTCTTTGCCGTAATTTTTATTAATTTTTCCAATTAGCAAAATTACATTCTCCAAGAAACTTTTCAAAGGCTCGAAGCGATCCGTAACTTTTTTTTAAGTTAGCATTATAAATGCTAATTTTCAAAAGATGGCATAAACATTAAATAAATATTCATAATGCAAAATCAGTGTTTTTTTTTCATCTCAACTAAACGTTTACTTGAGCAATGTTTATTCTTCCACAATAAAATAGCAGGGAAATATCTTTGTCATCAAATATTTATACACCCATTACTGAAGGCAGCAAAAGATAATATAATAATGAAATGTACATTAAAATACAAACCAAAACAAATAAGGCATTTTATCACAAATACGTATGTGTAAAAAACCTCAACCACAAAAAAATGCCCAACCTTACGAGTTTTGTTTTACCACCGATACCTTTAATATTATGAAAATAAAGCCCTTGCGTTTTGACTGTAAACTGGTAAATGCACCGAGAAGCTACCTCGATCCTCTGCAAAACCTGGAATTTGAGTTCCAAATGAAGTCGGCCGACCTGTCAGCAATCCCAACAACAACAACAACAGAAAAACCTCTCATTTGTTCTTGCCGAGTGTACGCTGCTTCTCTCCGTGTTCCACAACCTGCTCCTCCACGTGCAGCCCCTTTCGCTTGCGCACGGCCCGCATGTACTGTCGCGCCTTGCTCTCAGAGTCGGCCCTCTCGCCAAAGTGAGCGTACTCCTCCTCCGTGGTGGGCACCCACAGCGGGTCGCTGGAAATCACCTTCACAGGGACAAAGGGGGCAAAGAACCCAAGATGGCCCTTAACAAAGGACCGCTGGGGCAAGCGCGATTGGCGAACGCATATGAAGGCCGTCACGGCGAATATGGGGGGCAGAGTGGCCAATCAAAACTCCCGGCCGTCTTCATCTCCCCAACGCAGATGTTTTCACGTCGTACCAGGTAAACTCATTTAAGGCTAAGTCGACCTAGGGGAGCCCCAGGATCGGTCTGAATATTTGTCACCGAGATTGGCCGTGCGCAGAAATGTAACTGGTTAGTCGTGAGCGAAAAATGAAAACCTAGGTTGCTGTGTTCGTAGAAGCAATGCGCTCACCGCTACGCCACCGCTCCCAGTGCAAGGGTAACAACAAGCGCGCACACATGAACGTGCGCATGTTCGGAGGTGCAAACAAAAAGCTGCGGTGCTCAAGGATTAGGAGGGGATCCTGCAAGCCTAGAAAAGGATATTTTATTTTAAATAAAAGCCGAAGCTGTGTAGCCAAAAGAAGACGTGATATATTTAATTAAATGTATACACATATATTGTAAGGCACTATAATGTTCTAATGTGGCCATATCCCAAGATTCTGATTCCTTATTTTAATGCTTACGATAATGTACAAACTGAGGAAAATGTGTCTACATTTGCCCACGATATTTTCATATTCAAACACAAAATACTTTTACGTTTGCCAAAGTTGAAGAGTCTAAAGTTACGAGAACATGAATGACTCAATTGTCTGAAGCAGATGCACCAGCATAGCCTTTTTCCCTCATTTTTTAAATGTAATTCCATTGACTCTGTAATCAGACAGTGATGCAATTTAGGACTGCGTATATTTCATAATTGAATTGTGCCATAAATCATTGTTTAAATAAACCACTTACAATGGGTTTTCTTTAAGCGCCAAAAAAGCAGTGTTGCGCATTAAGGCACATGCTTTTGACGAGACATTCATCCTTTGATACGCTATTGACCAGCGCTCTACTCTCTGTGACCTTTTCCCAGGTCATACATCCTCCTGACTCTTGACCCCACTCTAATTATATGACATATGGCAGCAGTTTACAATCATTAAGTATCAATGCAACGGGCCCTTTCCTGAGTGGCAGACACATAGCACCTTGCAATCACCATTACTCAGGCGTCCAGACAACCTGCTATTTAAAGAATGCTTACATGCTTGTAAACTCCCTGTCATCGGTGAAAATACTGTAAACACTTTCAAGATTTCTCATTGATGCAGGCAGGCTTCACTACTTTTATACATTGCATTAACTTGCTGGAAGCACACGGTTGAAGCTGTTCAATCTGGAATTAAAGATCTTAGGAATCGCATACATTCATAAAATAACAACAGGGTCCAGACCTATGGTGTATAATGAGACCGAGTGATTTTGGAAAGTTTTGGAAAACGTAAAAATATGTAAGCGACCAAACTTACACGAAGCTGTACAAATCTGGGGTGAAGCGGTGGCAAAAAGGTTATATCACACTGCTTCATGAACGCCAACCACCGGAGTTTTATTCCCGGCTAGTGATATTAAAATAATGGTCCTGCAACACCCAACCTGTACTGTGACCAGCTTGGTATGGCCAAACAGTCATGTCTGGAAAGGTGTGGGTAGTCCTTCATTAAGTCGTAGCCTGACAGAGGTCTTGTGAATTATAATTAACTGTATGACTATGATATAAAACTACCTTTGATAACAATAAGTACACACACAAGTCTTAGCAGAAACGTCGGCGAGCAAGCTTTTACTACGTTAACCTAAATGATTATTGACACGTGTGGTCTCGTTGGAATTAAAATAACCCTCCCGATATTAGACAATTGATCGTTTGACCTTAGGACCTTCCAGGGATATATTTTTTCATGAAAATGCATGTAGTTAAACAACTTCAAACACTATTTATATTACCTTCTGTGCCCCTTTAAGGTCACGATTTTAATTCACTCGCTGCTTGAACATTTATTCTTCATTGAACTATTTTGGCTTTCATTATAGCCGGCATTGTCAAATGGGCAAAAACTCCTTGGCTGTTATAATAAAGGTGCAGCCCGAGTAATTGCTTGGGGCTCCCACGAGAAGCAGCTCTCAAGAGCCCCCCTCTAGAGGCTATTTGGTCTACTCTTCCACACTGGCCAGAGGTGGGAGTACCCACAATATATCCCCACCATATTGCAACCTGCCGATCGACCAGCTGCGGCATACCTATTTATACCGTTGACTATAGCAGGCGGGGGAATTTAAGAGACGCGGCCCGCTGTTTTAACTGACGTGCTTGGAGAGGGAACAGACCCGTAGACCTCTCTGGATTTGCAATTGCAGTCTGCTAACCATTACACTCCGGCACCATTCCTGCTATTACATTAACGGTGCAATTTACCTCCCAGTGGCTGAATATGAGCTGCGGGCTGGCGAGGCCACTGGTTCTCTTGCGGATCTCCTCGGCGAAGCCAAAGCTCTCGGCGACGGGAAGCACGGCCTTGATGATAAAGATGTCCGTGCCTTCCTTCATCTCCTCCTGCAGAACGCGGCCCTCGCGCTTCGACAGCACGCCATAAACCCGGCCTGGCACGCGCGCGTGTGTGTGGGCACAGAGCAGATTTACATTAAAATAAAATGCTTACTATGATGTATTAAAGGCATTGCACATTGATGACGATTCTGGTTAACCTATATTACAGAACTAACCCTTTGAACCTTCATTTCTTCATTGAAAGGAGTGAAAGATAACAACAAAACAAAACAGAATGATCATTGTTTACTTCCCAAAAGTGGCACTCGTTTTATTGAACATGAAATGATAGGTCGAGTGACCTATCATTGTCAGCAAGGTGTGATGACAGCAGTACCTCCCAGCAGGGCAAGAGATCACAAAAAGCTCTCCGATGTTATTTCGGGTTGAACCGCATTTTTCAGCAACTGAAGAGATTCCCAGTACGTGGATTGAAACGTTGAATATCATCCCCCTAACAATATGCGGTGCAACCCAGAAAACACATCGGAGAGCTGTACAGCACAATGACGAAAAAACCTACACAGTAGTACGAGATCAGAACGTATGCGATACTTTTTTCCCCACGTTGCTTACCTAGCACCTCAGCGGTCGCGTGTATTTCACAGGTGTACATGGCAGCCATAAGGCGCTGCGGCTTGGCCTGGAATGCGTACCGACACGCTTCCTTCATGGTGGAAATAAGCTGTCCAGTGAAAGAGCCATAACTGTCACTAGCGTTCACTCTGCCGCTTGAAGGCCTGTCCGTGCACGAATTGCAATCATCTTTCGTTTCCTCTTTTTTGCCCAGCTCGGCAGTTTTTTTGTCGCCAGCTTCGTGCGACGCATTAGTTGGTGGCTCCCTATGGCCGCTGCTGGGCGATCCTGCCCGTTCGCTCTTCTTCTCGCTTTGCAGCGCCTTCGCGTGAGCCTCAGCGGTGCCGCCGTGCCGCTCTCGGTCTGAACCTGCCACAGAGCCCGGTTCGCATCTCTCGACCTCAAAGCAGACGCCCATCATCGGCTCTTCGCACATGGGTCCGGCGAGAGAGGCCAGCTGGAAGCCGCTCGCCTGCAGCACGTGACAGTGGAGCCGTTCGTATCGTTCAGAGAGACGGATACTTGCCACGCATTATAAAAGGAGGGCATAACATAAGCCCTAAAAATACACCCAAATAAATTACCAGCAAACGATTAAGAAAAAATCCAATAAGAAATATTAAGCGTGTCTATGGATTCTGTAATGCTTTCCAACATTTGTTTTCCAAGGTGTTGATTTAGCGATAATTATGTTACCTTCCGAGCCCGCACGAGATGACGTCGTCACACGGTGCATGATGTGCGACGTTGCGAGATAACGTCGCACGTAATGGGGTCATTGAGAGGGGAGGCGAGCACATGATGCGTGACGTCATTGCCTTGGCCAACAAGGCTTATCCTAAGTGCTGGTTTCAATCGCCATATTTTGGCCAACGGTTTTTTAAATTGATCAATTTCGCCACTGTTCTGCAGGTTTAAGTCCCCCAAAGCAGCAAATCTTTATATTAAAATTGATCTACACGAGATATCACCTCCACGATAGACACAATGCTATTTAACCTTCGTTGGAAAACACAAAAAAATAGAGCCTTACCAGGCTACTGTCGTACTCTCCGTAGGAATGAAAATCTTCTGGTTTCCCTTCAATACATTGCCAGACAGACGGTCGTTGGTACCCGCTGATACGGTTTAACAAAAGGTTTGGTCCATACCTACAGAGCAACACCAACAATGAACGTCTTAACATGATATTGGACTACTTTCCATATTATACTTATCAGAATGGATACTTGTTAATTCTTACAGGTTTGTATTTGTAATGATTCAGTTCAAGAACAAATTACCTGTAATTCAAAGTTAAAACAAAACATACCTTCTTGGTCCAAATGACCAGATTTGATTAACTGCATTTTTCCATTTCAGTCCACGAAAATTATCTTCAAGTTGCTTCTTAAAATCTCGAATTGCCAGCAAAATACTCTGCAAAAAGAATGACAAGATTAACTCATTTACATGAATATGAATCACTCTCTTTCATCAACGATTGACTTCAATATTAACATTGTCCTCAAGAGAGTAGAACAATCCATGCCTTGGTGATTCAACACATTTCATGGCGATTCAGAGTTGCAACTCCCCAGATAATCTTTTCGTTTAATATCGCAGTGAATTTTAGCTCATCTAGTGGATGCAGGGAGGGATGTGTCACCACTAAATGCAACGCATACTATTAAAATAGCATTCACAATCGAGTGTCTGAAGAAACTCCCAGCAAGTGGAGTGAAAGGTCGGAGGGTCATGGCCAACGAAAGGTTCGAGAGCTACACAGCGCAAGCGCAAAAAACCCACACAGTGGTAACAACATTTATTCTAACGTACGTTATACGCTGCATGTACCGCGATTTTAATAACTGTTATTGATCCATGAGTCAAAGCTTCATTTCAACACGACTCGCCAAGTAGGCTAACAAACATAACGGTCAGCTCCAGCCCACCTCCTTGATCTGCCAAGCCGTCATATCTTGGCCCTCCTTAAGAGCCATGTTGAAATTCTCCATGGTGCGAATTAGGTCTCCGTGCTTTTCCAGCAGTTGCGTGATGCCCTCTGGCAGAGGGGTGGCTCGAATGGCGATGGCGCACTGCCGTCTGGGAGTGTGCATCAGCACCAGCCCGTCCGCGCTCACGTGCACATCTTCCGGGATCCTGCCGTCACAGGACAAACATCCAACAACGCGTTCAACAACACAAATGTCTGTATGTCTGTTGAACTTCTTTCGCACCGTACGTAGCCATCCGCGCTAATCAGAGATGTGGGGGAAGGACCACAAACTAAACGCAAAATCCATCCTAAAGAAATGAGTTTTCAATCGAGATTTAAAAGTACATAGCCTCCAATGGCTTCCGAACATAAAAAGAGCATTCCACAAGGCCGCAGAAGCACACCTGAAAGCGCGCGATGCAGTGACCGTCTTTGTTCTAAATGAGCTACGTTTAACATGGTCAGAAAACAGAGCTGGACAACTGCAGAAATACACCGCAACACACTCCTCAATTACTCGTTTGCCTAAGAGTTCTGTGACCAATGTATGTTTGACTAGAATGTAAAAAAAAAAATTGTTAATCCTACTTTAGATTTTAACCCAGCAATATGAATGGAAGATCAAAGTAAGTTGATCACCACGTTGCATGTGGTGGAGTAAAGTGTAGGTGCTACCACCTCCTCAAAGATGTCTAGCCACTGTGGAAAAGTCGGCAAAAATTACGTTTAGAGAGGCTCTTTAGACAATCCATCTAGTGGAGGCCAATCCAGCAGAAGTGGAATGAGCAACAAACAGCAAGGCCCCACCTTTCCCTTTCAACTAATATTCATGAAAGGCATTATACATTGATCTCCGTTCTGGAGAACCTAATATTTATCCAAGGCAACAATATTAGCAAGCACAGAGCTAACTATTTCACCTTGAATGTCTTCATTAAAAGGTCTGAAATAAGAAGAAAACAAAACATTGGCCGTTTTGTTTTCTCTTCCCCCCAGAATAACTTTCGTCACCTGCAGCTCGGCTCATCGAATTGTGCACATAGGGCCTTCAAGGAGGCCATATCAACTAACAACGTGATAAAAAAAAACAACAAACGCATTTCACGTAAACAAGACACTAGCTTAAAAAAAAACACAGTAGATTCTGACGGACGTGAAATAAATGAGCGACGTGCCACGCCACACAGGGGACACAGCGGGCACCTGGCGCCCTGGTCTTGTCTCTGCTTCTGGTGGATGACCGACACGCGCTGCTGCCCGATCTCCTCGTTCACCATGTCCACCTTTGGACGACGAATGATCGTCTCGCGAAACGGGATTATGGGGTCGGACACATTGATCTGGATTCTGGCGAACCTGCGAGGCGTAAAGGCAAACGTCATTAAATGACCATTTATACACTCGCCCGTCGGTGCACCACGAGCACTGATGTCAGCCAGTTACAGTGATTGACAGCGATGCATGAAAGTTAATTTGCGTTCTGCTTCGTTAGTATAAACGGCCAATGCGGGTTGCAGCAATGGGCATAAATGGCGCCATGCACAAGCGTAGAATGAAATATCGTTGAGTTATGTGCGAAGCTGATTTGCATTGGAGATTTAACGCATTCATTTTTAATGGAAATGGAATCTTTGAAATGTGAATTCATAAGCAGCGGTGATTTTATTACTCTGTACGTTTTCATAGAAGCGCTGTGTTGGCTCTCCGCGCGACATGTTATCGGGTTGTTCCGCATGATGTTCGGCATCATGTCCAAAGTTTCGCTGAATAATGGAGTAAGTTCCGAAAGATGCTCCCAGCAAGTGCAGCGAAACATCGGACATCATGCTGAACAAAAATTGGTAAACGCCAGAGAGGGGCGATGTTACTTCTTTAGCTCATCTCACACCTCTGGCGCAAGTCATCGAGGCAGCGCTGCAGGTGAACCTCCCCTGCTGTAACCAGAACGTGCTCCCCCGTCTCCTGAATCAGCACCTCCACGCAGGGGTCTGCCTGGTTTAGCAGCTTCATGCCGTTCACCAGCAGCGGCATCTCACCTTTGCCAAAAAAAGAACAAAAGGGACACGGAGGTGCCGATGCAATTCATTACTGCCGATGGTAAATAAAAAAAGAAATCCAAGACTTCACCATCAGCGGTGCAGGTGTTGAATGTGTATAGATCCGAGATTTTAAAACAAAACTTGCAGCCGCCTAGCGTGACATTGAAGACACCTATGGAGATAAAACCTACTTCGGGGACATTGTGTCATCTTTGAAATGCAGTGTGCACCTGCCAGGATGTGCTACACACTCACGCACCTCTTCTAAGAAATACGCTGCGCCTCATTAAGGTAAAGAATAAGAGGCTGTTACATTCGGTAACAATTTCATAGGCGCAAAAACACTGCACCAAGGTCATCATTAACAGTTTGCTCGTAAAATTATGCACCATGCTCATCCATTTGTTAATACGCCGCTGTGTGGAGGCGGTGTTGGTCACGGGTGTGGTGTGACAATACATCACAACGCTGATCAGTGGGGGTTAGTGAAGGGGTCATCCAGAACGGATTCAGATATCATTCACCACTGATGTCAGCCGTGGCTAGGCAATGAACTCGGGTCACGGGGTTCGCAGGATAGCACTATGAACCCTGCGTCACCACTCCACCCCCAACTACTGCCTTATAACAGAAAAAAATCAGAGCCGTCTCATGTTTCAGGTAATGACCCTTCTCCAAAGTGGAGAAATCGGGCGGTTGTAATGTTTTGGCACAGCTGGAAAAATTATTTGGCAACGTGCTTGAAAAGAATAGATCTCTAAAATGCGGTCTCTGCCTAGCTATCAATGAAAATGTTGTCCCCCCTTCTTGCTGGAAATGATTTTCACTGCCCAGATAAGCCAAATATATTATTTCTGTTTTCATCACCATCAGCCATTGTCATCTAATGTTGGATTAAGGCCTTTCCGAGCCACCACCATCTTTTACGAACTTAGGACGTTTCAAAGAATTGATACAGTGTTCACGGTCTCTGTTGAAACCAATGCCAATGGAGTCTCTTTTAAGGCGCAATAAATAGGCAGTTCCATAAACAGACACTGTGACATTTAGAGAACACAACCAAGTACACGCAATAATTAAATAAAACACACACATACAATCGTGGGCGACTCACTCGGGTGTTTGGGTTCGACAGCCACGCGAATGATTGGGACGGCCTCAAAGTAGAGCGGGATGAAAGGAGGGCATGCCAAGCAGCTGGAGATGGTGGCTGACTTGAGAACATGGTTTTCCAGTCCACCGATTCCTTGGGAGGACGAAGGCACAGTTCTAAGTCATGTAAAAGTATTTTTTTTTGTTTCCATCAGTTATTTTTGGATGACTCAAAAAGGTCATCAGAACAACACCATGCCACAAAAACGTAACTTATAAAATCTTACATTTTTCTTGATAACCTGCAATGCCACCAGTGTTCACTCAGACAATTATTAATAAAATCCTCTATCATATGTAAGGCAAAACAAAACATGTTTTCAGAACTGAATGCTTGCATTCTTGTTGCGATTTTAAACACTTCATTTGTCTAATCACTTGGCATCGTATTTTGGTTGCTTGCTTGTCTTCTCACTCACTCAAAATAATTAACAGCTTCGTTGACACTTTTTCCATCAACGCCCACTCATAGCTTCCAATTGTAAACTATTCTCAGTAAGCTTGTTCTCAGTAAGCTTATGACAACATTGGTTTAAGTGCCCGTGCCAAATGTTTTCATGCGGAGAACTACCATATTTTTAAATCTCACCCAAGTCTTTTCAACTACTTATTAAAATTTCTACTCCTACTCGAATGCTTTTCTCACATCACCGATGGAACTCAACCACACATTGTTTTGCGTACACCTTTCAACGAACGCAAACGCACGTGCAACGCGTCGACGAGACGAACACATTAAAAGTGAGAAATCGGCGACGACCGTTGGGCAGGTTGACATTGTGACCGGGTTTAACTTGGGCATTCAATTCATGGGGAGTGGGGTGACCAAAGCAACGTCGCGTGAAGGGACCCCGAGAAGTTTACACGTGGCCTTGATAGAACCGCACGGAGCTGCCCCTTAAGGAAGGTATACGCTTCGTGAAAGCTCAAGACTCCAAGCACAGACGCCCCATCCCCCCCACCTATTCCCAAGATTGCAGCTTAACCCAGTGACTCTTGGAATTAAAAGAAAGTGCATGAGCTTTCCTGCAGACCCTGCCACTCCTGCATAACAGCCACTGGTGGTCTGCGCATCAAGTGCCCTTTATAATCAATTAACTGGCATTCACGACGGAAGCTTAAATACGAATATTATTACAGCAACGCACGCTGGAAATTAAACACGGATGTAGCATTTACAATAATGCGGAGTGCAGACTGAAAGTTTGTCGTAGTTTTTTAAAAACGGCAATATGTTGGACATTTGCAGAAACTATATTGTTACGGTCAATACGGAGTCGGGTCGTATTGTTAAGACTGCTCAACGTAATTAAATCTGGAATGTTAAATATAGGTGCTCACCAAAATAAGCCGGGTAGTTTAAGCAATATGCCCAACAGTGGCCTGCTCCAAGCACTAACAGGCAGCTAATGAAACAATACATACACAAATGTATCACTCGATGGTCACGCTTATCCGCGGCTAACCTCCCCCGTGTGCCATTCTGACCCTTACAGGCGCAAATAGGTGCCCAAGGGACGGGCGCCTGCCAGGTTATATTCCAGACTCGGCAAGAACACACGGCATATGGTGCTCCGCTGTGCCGTGGCTTTCACTGTATCGCCGCACTGCGTATTCTCCAGAGGCGGTCAAGTCCGGGTCACGAACGTAACCCCCGTCCCCACCAGGGCTGCAGCCCTGCACAATACACGTGCTTGTAACTCGCACTCGCAAGCCTTGAGATTTTCTTGATTACATTAAGCATACCCGCGACTGAGCTAATGTGAGAGTCAGTGTTTTTCTGCTGCATCAACATTTAAGGAAGCTTACCAACAGTGACACGCTTGAAGTTATTCATACACACGTATCAATTATGGAAAGCATCTCACATTTTGGCAGTCCACATCATGCTTTGCATTCTTCGCGAGAGTGAAACTATAGCGTTTGTGTAAATGTGTGGAATTTCTTATGAATTAGGTCTGCAGCTGGGTAATTTATTTTCGATGCAATATACAAACACCCTTTGATGTATTTCGTTTTAAACCAAACACGTTAAAAAGGCAATCATCCAATGTTAAGTGTAATCATACTGAAGCTTCTTTGCACAAGGTATTTTTATTGACCAACAATGTGCAATGAAATGGATGGTGCAAATGCACCATGTTTTCATAATAATGCACATAATCAAAATACCATGGCGGTACAGTGCTTTGCACGCTATGCTCGATACAACTGGCCAACTAAGTTAGATTTCCAGCGTGCCGAACATCACCAGTAAATATGTTCAGAATGGTGACTGTGACACAACACTGATCAGTGAACTTAATGGCACCTTATGCTCCGATGGAAAATAATGTCAGTATTTTTTTTAATTTGAGTAAAGTGCACACTCTTTTTATAAGCTCAACCATGATTCTATTACCATTTGTGATAGAGAACCTTTGTATTTTTCACACAGTAAAGCTCAGCCCCAAGCACCACTTAAAAGTGAACTCAGATGGTATATTAAGTTCTGACTTAGCCTGGCCACCAATGTAGCTTGGAATGATTAATTCATTTCCACATCAACCAAATTCTAAGCCAAGACTTGAGCATTATCAATATAAATTAAATTAAAAATCTTAAGAAAACACAAGTGACTCCATTGGGGCATTGAATCACTCAGAACAAAAATATTCGTAACCTGGGGAGGCAATGCTTCTAACCTTTTTTTACTTGTCCACCCTACAGCTCAAACTCCAGATCACAGATATGTTGGCTTTGTATCTTCAAACAGTGCATTAGATGTCCCATAGGCGCCCAGCCGATTCAATGATGCACATTGCCTTTTATAGAAATAACCACTATTAACGGTAAAAGTAACACAAAAAAAACATTTTGCAGCTGCACTGGATGTGTGACATATGTGGAAGTTGTCTGGGCCAAGAGAGGTTATGCAAGTGCAAAATATGGTGGGGTATTATTGTACTTTCCGTTATCCTCCTGCAGGATAACACAAGGTAAATGCCCAGAGGCTTACAAAAGACGGTAATATACACCAACATTATTGAACAGAGGCTACATTTATCCCATAAAGGCTGTCTCATTTTCTTTTTAACCAGTGCATACAATTTGAACGGAATTCTGAAATGTCCACCGCTCCAACAATGGATGAAAGAAGTCAATTGTGCGGTTCTGATCTGGAGGGGGTTAGTAAGTATATATGCTTGCCAAGTATAGAAAATTAAAGAATGATGAATAATTCACACCTCTTCTAAATAAAGAATCTTACCAAGCACATTGCCAGCTGGGACTTCATCAAGAGACTCAAGCTCTCTGCCCATGAGCAGGTACAAGCTGTCCACTGTCACACAGGCCAGGTGGGGCACCCCTACCAGCAGTGCTTCGCTGATTGGGCCTTCTGGCAACTGGCACACAACAGCGCAGGGGACACGCATACACACGAACCACAAGCAAATCTGTAAACACGGATGTGCTCCCATATTAATAATGCACACAAAAATAACCTTCGCACACAACGTTCATAAACAAGACAGAATACCCTTCAAGGGTATTTCCATCGCCAGCATCCTTCAATGGTCTATCTTACATCGGCGCTATTTTGGTCTCTAATCAGTTATGTAAAATGAATGGTTAATACTTTGCCTGTATATATGTAACTAGATCTAGAAACATTTAGCCCTTGAAATTGTGTCATTCAGATTCAAGGGAAAAAAGCAAATGGTAATGCAATATTTTAGGCAGTCATTATGCAGTGGCTGTGCTGAGAAATTCAACTTGCTACAAAAGAGATGCTGTTCTTTTTCCTCCAGTGACTGAATGATTCAAACCCAGTCGGGGCCCGGTGTTCAAACGTGTACCATTATCTCCACGAGTCACTCAAGAGTTGTATAATACAACAGCGGTTGTTTTTAAAATTATATTTATGATTACATTCGTTTTGTATAAATATTTAAAAAAAAAATTGTGCACTTTACAGCTACAAAAATGTACAATGTCGCAAACAAAGAAACTGTCACGCCATGAATTTGCTGTCCACAAGACGTAATACAAGAGCTCCACCTGCTGCCAATGACCATTTTCCGGCGTGTAAAATTTAAATGTAAAATCTCCCACATGCCAAGCTAGGCGTTGCACGCTACACAAGGCGTGCATTACTGTGAACCGATTTCACTAATGTGGAACATCAGATCACCCAAATTAAGCTTAAATTGTCAATGAATTAAGCAAATTAGATTCAGTAAAAAAATAAGGCACCTCTTCAAGGAGACATAATTACATTATGAATATAAAAAAATGTCCCCCTTCTCTCCCTCCCCTGCCCCCCGGTCCCCATCTAATGCCTGGGTAAGAAAATGAACCTGGTACAACCCTTAACCGGTTCCTGTTTGAAGAGGAAAGCTTACCCAGAAGGCACCCCCCCTCCCCTCCCCTGATATGCCGATGTTAACCGTGTTTGTACGTGTTCTCTGATGTGGTCGTTAATATTGGTCAATAAAAAATATAACAGTATAAAACAGTGTTGCAATGTAACATTTATGCTACTATATCAATAACAGTCGAGTCTGGGGATATATAAGCACTGCAAAAATCAAGACCCTCAACCAGGACTGTCATTAGCAATATCTTGCAACCAAAATATATCAAGCGAAAATTTCTGGCAATGGCCTTTCTTTAGAAATAAAGACGGCACATATATTATTTTTTACAGTTGGGTAGAATTCCTTAAAAGCTCAAGAATTGAAATTCTGAGTATGTCTAAATAAAAAGCAGTGGATTTGGACCAGAAAACTCTTCCGTCTTGAGTATCCTTTAGGTCCGGGGTGGGCAACCTTTTTTCTGCAAAGGGCCATTTGGACATTAATAACATCATTCGCGGGCCATACAAAAGTATCAAATTAAAGATTAGCCTGTTATATTTGGTTAAACATTTAATTAACTCACCCCTAATGTGATGGCTGTAACTGCCAAATGATTTTGCGAGCCTTATACGGCCCGCAGGCCAGACGTTCCCCACCCCTGTTTTAGGTAGAAACAAAAAATATGCTTTTGGCAAAATTATTCAACATGTATCGTTTTTGGAACCCTTGTAATTAAGTATTTTTAAAATTATCATTCTAACACTGTCCTATGTGACGAGCGTGAAAAACTGGCAATATACCATGTTGATGGTGTTCCCTAAAGTGGAGGCCCTTCTGCCAGCGGGTGGCACGCGTAAGCAATTCCAGGGCTGCCCTTTTTCCTTCCACGAAATGCGACACTGCAATGTGCATACCTTTTCTAGCGCCGTTGCCGGGTCATATTTGGGCCCCAGGACGTAGAGCCGCTGGCCCTTCCGCACCGTGCCGCTGTACACCCGCGCAAAGGCGACGAAGTGCTCTCTATCTGAAGCCTCCGTGTCCTCCTCTGGCCGCTCAGTCAGGTCTCTTGATGGAACCGTCTCAGTCTCCTGTTTCTCGTTGACACCTGGAATAGGGGGGCCGCAGGATAATTTCTATTTTGTTGTTGCTGCGTCCGTATGGGGGCAGCAGTACAACAGGAACGGTTTTTGACTAGTCTGTGCAAAATTTTAGTATTCTCTCCTTGCATGCATCAAGTTATCTCCGGGCACTTTGGCTTACTTCCACGTGCAAAACAATTCACAAGAGATCAAAATGTGGCGCATGCTACCATCGTGGATTGTGGGTGATAACATAATCATACAGAGAAGAGTTTGTTCCACCACAAGGTTGTAACTGATGATCCAGTTCGTGCCTGCTTATTTGTTGCTAAAAAAACACATTGGGCCTGAAGAAGGTTCATAGAATGATGGACTAAAAATATAATTTCGTAAATTACAACACAGCCAAATCTTGTCTGTGTATTTTACTCAAGAGGAGTTGGCCGGACCCCACAAATCAAGATCACGAGATGAGGTCCTGCACCTCAGGTGGGTATCCCTGGTTATGATTAAACGGTCATCATCACCTTGGTCACTTCTGGCTTCTTGGTTGTCTCTTGTTTCCGAGCACCCCATGATTGTCTTGGAGCCAGGTGGCTCTGTCTGTGTTTGCTGCCCGGTGAGTTTGTTTAAGTGCCTCTGCCTGGCCTGCTCCCTTCGCTGGACCATCTCCTCCAGGGTAAGAGGTCTAAAGACACACGGCACATGGCCAATGAGCAAAACCAGTCAACAAGTAAAATAAACAGAACTACGGAACGTCACATAACCGAACATCACATATCCGCCCTGACCAATTAACCACACACACCTAGTGCAGTATTTGTGCACGGTGTCGCAGTTATTATCTATACATGTTAAAAAAATTCAAAAAATGTACACGGAATAAGTATTTTGACATCTTTAAAACAGTTTGATCCTTTTGTCCAGTAACACATTTGCGTACAATTTAACTGTACATTTCTACAGATATTCACGCATCCAACCTTTTCACAAATCAGCCCATACCTCGGTCCCCAGCGAGTCGGAGAAGCGATGTGGTATTTTACTGCAATAGCAATGCAATAAGATTGGCATAATGAGTGTGGTTTCTGTAAACTATAAACGATTTTATTTTACCACTGAGCTATATAGCTCTATCAGAAGCGACCTGGCCACAAATAATAGCTCAACGAAGTGGCTTATCACGTGGAAATATACTGCAGCCAAATACTCTAAACGCATGTTTCTAAATGTGCAGGGAAAAACCGGAGAACCCGGAGAAAGTTCCACGCGACCACAGGGAGAGACGAGAGGTGAGGCAGCGACGAGCTCAGCCTCCCCTCTGATTGGGCAACCCCCTCAGTAACTGGATGGAGCGCGGGCAATCAGCGTGTGCCTGTTACTATCTCAGTATGTCACCAATGTAATGTGTGTAGACCCCTTCATTTCATGTCCTCGCCTTCCATACCCCAGGTAATCTATTTCACGTATGTCTATAAAGATATTTAGGCTCGCTGGTCTCGTCATGAAACTGCAATGAAAAAGCACCAGGGGAGGCAGCTATCACATCTGCCTCACTGAGGGGGACGTGTCTAACACGCCCCCCTCCGTGAGGCCACGCCCCCCTCAGTGTGTGAATCTGGCTCTGACACTAGCCAGTGCCTCCCCAGCCATTGCCCTCACGTCACTGAAAAATACAAGCGTCAGGGTCGGGATCGAACCCATGATCTCCTGCATACCAGAAGAGGTATTTACCATCTTGCCACAGTATCACGGACATATGGAGTACATTCCTACCTTTGCTTCTTTTGAGGAAGGGCCTTTGCATCAACAGAAATCATTTTTGAGACAAACACAATCACAGGGGCGTCGTCAGAACTTTTACATGAAATGAAATCTGCAAAGGGAAGAAAAGGACAGTTTTAAAATCTATGTTTGTTCCAACAATGACTGACACTATTAAACACAGGGCACTTTCTGACTGAACTGTCAGGAATGGTAATAATTTGGTTTAAGGCTTTACAGATGTTATTGTACTCTTTGGTTCTTTCGGTAAAGTCACGTAGATATATATATATATATATTTCTTTTTTATATCTACATGACGAAAGCTTCAAATCAAGATGTTACTGTACGAAAAATATTTTCTATACATGCATTTCATAATAAAACCTCAAACTTATCATGCAAAAAAATCTTCCTAATTTTCAGAAACATTATAAACATTCCCAAAAAATTTTAATTGGGAGATAAAGCCAATCAAGATAAGACTGGAAATAACAATAATATATCAGAAAGCAGCAGGAGTCTGGTGCGTGCTTGGATGGGCGACCACCATGCCTAACACAGATATCTGTGGTAAGCAGGCTGTGGGTTTTATATTTTCTGCAGGGGGTAGTGCAGACAAATCCATTAGCGCATCGTACCATTCTCAAGCACTTATGCTCCCCCGCCTTTATTAACTCGGTCTGACGCGCGTGGTGAAATATGGTTAAATAAGTTCCACAACCTGCGTTGCCTTGGATAGGCCCTCATCAAGCAAGTGGATTTTGACAATAGGCCTGTGCATGTAACAAGCAGTGGTTGTAATCGTAAACTGCAGAAGTCTGCATCTCTGTTCTTTCTCACCGTCCCTCAGAGTTTGTGTTTGCTCTGGAAGAGACTCGAAGCGTTGAGCGCGAGCACACAGCAGCTTTTCCACGCGCTGTGCAGACATTTCCAAGGGGCTGGGAAGACGGCAGCTTACCATTGCTGCACAGCGCCAGTCAAGGAAACCAAACTCTCAAGGCGCACGCGATTATGCACTGGAAGATATATTGTCGTATTTGACAGGACCGAAGGTCACGTTTTCTATTTCCATCACTTCCTTTGTAACGTGGTCTTTTATTACACCAAGGGAAAAAAAAAGCTGCATTTATGTTGCATCACTTTGTCAAGCAACATGTATATCCATGTTGCCATCCAGCGGAGGCCCTCAAAGATACTTTCATTCAGCTTTGCCTTTGCAGCTCGATCCCAAGTCATATCAGGAATGCAAGCACAGTTGAATCTTTTCAGTCACATTTGAAAACGTATTTGTTTGCATTAGCTTATCCTTGAGCTGGACTGATTGGTGAACGTTTTTTTGTATTGTCAAGTTTTTTTTATATTATAAGTGCCCTGGGATGCTCTACATTTGCGGCGCGAGAGAGAAGCCAAATGTAATGAATTGTATTGCTTTCTCCTTTGATTAATACAAAGGTAGAGAAGTAAAGTGTCAGCCCTGAATTTTTTTGCTCACGCCACTGCCGGCGAAATGGTCTCCACGAGAAGGAGCTCTAGAGAGCCTGTCTAAGAGGGTATGTTTGGTCTACTCTTCTACACGAGCCAGACGTCTAGGATGAGATGGGGGTACCCACACTTTACCCCACCATGCGTGACCTGCCAATCGACTACAGTGCTCCCATTTGTACTGCCGGGTAGATAAATGCGGGAGAATTTAAGAAACTTGCGCGTCGTTTCAACGGCTGTGCCGGGAGATTACATCAAAGCGGCGACCTTGGGATTGCAAGTCCTGTGTGCTAACAAATACATCACGCGAGCATCCTTGTACATAGGAAGCTTACAATGTAAACGCAATTTCAGCCGTTTTTGGATACAAAGGACAGCCTCAGAGAGTGGCAGCCACTGGCTGCAGATGGCACTCAGGTAGACCTTCGGATCAGTGTGTCTCATGTCTCTTGCAAGGATTTTCAGCCCCAATGAGTTCACAATTTTTTCAGACTTCTCCTTGTCTCTGTTGCAATAAAAACAAAACAATGTAGAGTAAGAAGAAAAAAAAAACCTAAAAGATTTGAAGCCAAAATGAATATTTATTTTTCTGAGAAAAATATGTGGCAACAACTCACCTTCTAATGACAACAGCTTCATAGAGGGCCCAAATATTATCCAGAACCAACTGCACAAACAAGGGCTTTTTCCCTTTGGCCTGAAACATAAAATCAAACACTCACTTTTAATTACATTTTGTACAGAAATGCACTGGAAAAAATATTCTTATCTATAAAACACACATATATATACATTACACCTTTCATGATGTTAAAGTAAGTGTAATAAACAACTGCATTTTGACACATACTTGGGCCCCTTTCATGATTTTCTTGGCTTTGGTATTGAGGTAAAAATCACCCCACAGGGTCTTGAGCAGCACTTCCTTTCTCACTCCTATCTTCTTCGAGTAGAGTCGTGCGAAATGCTCTATACTGCAAAATGGACAGGAGGAGAGCGAGCGAGCAATCATTGTGAACAACGCTGTCTTTGATTTTCTGCCACATAAGTGGCAGGGTAAAGATTTAATACGAGCCAAAACCCTCCACCAACTGCTAAGTGACCGAAATGTGTGTGGTTTCCCCAGGGGTTACGCAACACATGAGAAAGCCCATTCCAGCCCTATAGACAATAACAAGATGTCAGGACACATATTGATAGCCATATATATTGTATCCGGCTTGGTGGCAATGCAGTTAGGGTGAGTGACTCGCAATCAGAAGGTTGCGAGCCCAAATTCCCAGTTGAGGCACAACTGAGGCTATGAGCCGACAAAGGTCGATGAAATGTGTAGCACCACTTTGTGGTGAGTCAACAGCGGCCTTGTTATGGAATGACTGGCCCCTGCCAAGGAAATGTCGATTCTCCACCGCTGGCTCAGGGCCACCAGTGGAGAGGAGTGCTGCTCCATTACTTGTTTTGAACAGGAATGCTGATTTAAGTCTAACCTTAAATGGTGCTGCGTAGGGCGATGATAGTACTTTTAATGATTTAATGGTTAAGTGTGTTTTCTTAAGCGCCAAAATGCAAGAACTTTTTTTTATCAATCCACTGCTGGTTGAGGGCCTCCTCACACCGTGAAGGTCGTTTGGGTTCACCGTACTGCATCATGCCGATGAAGGCAGAAAGCTTATATGTGGAGACATTGAAGTCACTAAGTATTTGTTTTGCTACACTGCCCTCTGCTGCCTGCCACGGACTCGCATTGTACTCGCATGATAGACCAAAACATATTGCAATAAATCGGTAATGGATATCCATTGTAATTTATATGCATACACTAGCTTTACTACCCGGCTTAGCCCAAGACTTGGATTCTTGTCTTGGATTAAAACACGGCCTACGCGCAGGGTAGGGGGAATGCGTGACGTCAGCAGGCACACTGCGTAACGCTGCCGCATGCGGGTGACATCACAGATGTGACGTCACCGCTCACTTGCCGTGCAAAATATATCCATTATTGCGCCCCCCCGCATCCCAAAATACAAAAGTCTATTTTCATACTTTTTGCATTGTGTACAGTCTGGAAGCTGCCCACATGCCAAATTTCAAGTTTGTTGCATGTTGGGAAGTATGCTAAACATTTCGAACAGACACACATTCACAAATTTCCCTTTTATATATATTAATAACCCCCCTCTGGTTTTCCCACCTGATTGTCTCTCAAGCGTCATCACTTTTAGCCCTTTATTTAAGACCGAAACAGGAGGACTTCTCCACAACCCTGGCTGTCGCCTGATGATGCCGGTTGTAATTACCAGATAAATCTCGTACTCGAATTGTAAATGTTGTGGCTTTACTTTCCAACACACCGGTGTGCTGAACTAGTAACCGATTGGCATGTTTAGTTCACGTGACAAACCTGAATCCCCAGCCATCGAGTGCACAAGCAAACACCACGTTCCCCTGATCTGGAGAGAAGTAGAGGCTCGAGTCGTCTGCCTCCTCAAAGCCTGCACTCCAGTCGAACAAGGGGTCAGCTTTCCCTTCGTTCGCCAGGGTGCCCTCCACTGGTCCTGAGGAAACCTTTTCTGCACTCTCTTCGAGCACCTTGGAGGTGAAGAGGCTGCCAGTGACAGCATTGACCTAACGAGAGACAAAAATAATCACAAGACTGACGTCATTGTGAGACATTTTTCAACAACAAAAAATGATAGGTTAAAATACCTGACACATCATGGTAGGGTAAAAAAATATATATTTGCACACTAAGCTTGGTTTTTTATAACTGTAGCAGGTACATATGCACCCAATACAAATGTATTTAAAAGTTTACCGCATAAACAAAATCATTAGTAAGCAGAACTCCATTGTGTCTCCACATATAAATACAATGTATGTTTGAACATAAGCCTATTGGATTTCCAGACTAGCAGTCTTTTTTATGTCCAGCAGACTTTTATGGTCTGTAAAGCCAATAGGCTGATAGTACGATAGCTATATTTGTATTCACGTTATGACAAGAGAACGGAGTTTCCTACGGTGGCGCGTAATGATCTTGCATACCATAAACACAAGATCATCCTGGGGGGGGGGGGGTAAGGATGGAATTTACCTGTTCCAGAATCTTCTGCAGTTGGATATGTGCCTCGGTTGGAGTGAGCTTCAGCTCTGTGATGAGGCGGTCGATTTTGTTGATCACGAGGCAAGGGTGAATGTTTTCCAGCCATGCTTGCCTCAGCACCATCTGGGTCTGAGGTAACAAAACACCAATGTTCCCGCTTTACTGGAGTGCAACCGGTTTAATATGCACCGTTTACATTTTACACATACTAATCACGGGAAGTAAATCACCCGAAAGGAAAGCCTGTAAGGCTTTATATATTTATTTTAGAAGCCACAGGATGAAGGGACAATTTAGTTGTCTTTCACAATGCATTTCCTCAATGCAATTTGTAACTTATTTTTTTCTCGTTTGGTGATTAACACAGAAAAATAAATCCATTCAGAGTGCACTACAGACTACTTGGGCAATAAACATGTCTATCAATACCCATGTGATGATTCTGCATTTGAGACTGGACACAATGTCGTGTGACAAGATTGCATAGCGTCTTGAGATGGGGTTAAATTTAGATGCTACATAATTTAAATGTTTTTGTTTTAAAGAGCAAAGAATAAATACAGCGTTAATTTTGTCCCACAGTATATCGCTGGTAAAAAAAGTTATTGTATTATCAAGGTGAAAACCAATGTCAGAATAGACTTATCCATCTTTGCTGTGCAACTTTCATAGATACCATGAATATAAATCATTTAAAATAAAGCACAGGCCAGCTTTACACAGCTGATAAGCATGCTAGGTTTCCTTTCTCGAGGGAAAGTTAGCGCACTAATTTGCGTACAGGACTAATAATGCTGCCACGGCAATGTGGGTTTCACATTTCACAGATATTAAAATAACACACAGATACGAATACTACAATGACCCATTCACTAAAACCAAATAGATTTGTGATATTAAATGAATGTCTTTTCTCAATTTTAGTGCCCTTTTAAAATGTCTCAACTGCTCCACTACACACTGGCTTGTCTCCACTAAAAAGAAAACTAGAGCTATTAGATTCCCTGCGGTGCTTTCTTTCACAGCCAATGGAGCTTTGTTAAGATTTAAAACAAAGTGCTTTTGTGAGGTTGGTCAAAGAGACTATCTGTATGTTTCAACAAAAAAAAGTTTCCCCTTAAACTTTACAAAGGTGCTAAATGGCATGCCTTTGCCAGCATCAACATTAAACATATGGGCATCATTAAAACAGTGAAGTTGCCAGACATACAGCTGCTTCAAATGCGTTGTTTGTTTTGTGCGTGGTGTGTTAAAAGTATCAATGTAAGATATCATAGTATACACATTTTGAAATGATTCCATTTTACGACGCACAAGTCTACAACACATTAGAGCAAACCGTAAGCTGCATAAAACCAGTTTGGGGAAGCCATGCGACAGTTTAGAAAATATATGAAGTTACTCTAATTAGGTATATTTTAACAAATAATAAAGCAGCCTCAACAGGGACTGATCCTAAAAACGTAGTGGGATGAACATTCATGCTCACAGGACCTGACACAAATATACACTGTATGGGTAATGCTACTCTAGACAAATAAACAAATAGTTTAGTAAGAAAAAAAGTTATTTATTTAAAGTCGTAAAAAGTAACATTGTTTGTACAATAACATTACATTTATTAATCAACTGTGTTCTCAAATGCAACCGTTGTTCTAGTAAAAAAATAAACTACTGTGCACATAATGGCTAATGCATAACAGCTGGTAAGCCATTTCAAACACCCACGGATACAAGTGAGTTTCAAACTCTTGGTTGGGAAGATAGCATAGTGAATGCTACATTACCATGCACATATACATAATATCATCTCTATGTTTATTTGCCAATACAAATTCACCAGCAGGACAAATTCACAATGTTGTATTGGATAGGTTAACCACAATGTCCCGTTAAAACGTATCTACAGATCTGGATAACAGAAATGTAGGCTTTTACACTGGAGTGAAAATGGCACAATTTGTCTGCAATTTACATCTTGGTCTTCTAGAGGGCGCATTAATTTATACATAATACAAGGTGACGCATTTATGAATACCCCACTGGTTTCTATAGACCTTGTCTTATGGGCCTGCACTCAAACAAAAGAGGCCCCTCCCAACCCCCCGACAGCTAGCCTATTTTTAACGTCATTAATGAATGAGGCCCCATGTGGCATTCTCCCTCAGGGCATCAGGGAATCTCGAGGTGGCCCGAGGTGGCCCTGAGTGGCCCTGGGTTGGATTGGCCAAGGTGGAACAGTTGCATGGCCCTGCATTCGCCAGATATCTCCCCACAATAATTTTTTTTCTTTTAGGGTAACATCAAAGGCCATGTGTAAGTCACAAAAATCGCAAAATGTCAATGACTTCAGCTCACGCTTCATTGAATGCTATAAGCCAATCACATCAGCTACGTTGGACAAAGTGTTTGAGGAGAGTAAGACAATATTACATTAAAAATGGTGAGGAGACATGTAGAGGCTTTGAAATAAAATTGAGTTTTCTCTGTTTTTCTTTTTGAATTGGGGTAACTATCAGTGGATCAACCCTGGCATTTCACAAGCACCCTTTTCAAGTATTGACATCCCACAGCTTCACTATTGCTTCCCTCATTAAGTGGTAATAAATAAATAAATAAATCTCTTTTATTAAGCGCCTTTCTACAAGGTACTCGAGGCATTGTACACCAAAAAATACATTTTTAAAAACGTTGGCCAAAGGGAGCAAAAACTACATAGTATAGAAGCTAATTTCTAGACCCAGAAGCAAGAACAAGTAAATGCATCTTGAGGTTGGGTGTAAGCATTGCCGTTGTGTCTCAATTTCGAAAAGCGCTGAGCAAGGGATTTACACACAGCGGGGAGCAGCACAACAGAAGGCACAGGTCACCCAATGTGAGGAGCCGCGTCCAGGGATGAAGCAAATTACATAAACGCAAACTCATTCAAAAATAAGCAAGCAAAAGAGCAATAGCACCTCCTGAAAAAGAATGGTACTGGAAACGTTACCTGCGGACATACACCTTCGACGGCATCAACCACAACGATGGCCCCGTCACAAAGGCGAACAGCTGTAGAGACCTCGGAAGAAAAGTCTACGTGCCCTGGCGAGTCGATCAGATTGATCAGGTACTCCTCGTCATCTGCAGAGCAATTTGCAACCACAAACAACAGGAACGCACATGTAAAACCGTTAACATTATCACGTGATAAAGGCAACAAAACAATGATGTCAAAATCTGACGTGACATTTTCACACTGCACTGATTCAACTACAATCCATAATTTTAAAAAGTAAAAAAATATATTAAGATAGTGTGAATGAAAAATGCCGCAAAATTGTAAAAATAGGGCAGTGTTGTCACCAGAGCAATACACATATACAACTGAAGAATATCAACAAAGCTCTTGTGTCCTACCATAAAAAAGTGTCAGTTCAGACACTTGCACACTACAATTTGAGCAAGTAATAATAATGCTACAACTCAACATGGGTAGCCTGGCAAACATAAATACATTTTTTGCGGTGCTTCTGCACTTTATAGAGGCAACGGCCATTTGATCATACAGATTTCTGATACTCGCAAACCTGCCGGGCTACAGGGTGGCCAGGAGATTGCAAAACAAAATGTGGGTTCGTAATGACCGGTCTGTGCTGATATTTCACGTTATCTATCCCCTCATCGATGGGGTTTCTCCAGGTAGGCTGGTTTCCTTCCAAATGCAAAAACATATATATGGATTTGACCAAACATCATAATTCATAACCGTTATGAAATATTCGCTTGACACTTGATAATGAAATAGAATTATTAATTTGAAGTCGTTTGGAAAAAAAGTGTTATCCATCAATTACAAACTATTCATATCAATTTTATTTAAGATTTTTAAGGCACCAGTGTAAAGTATTATCTCCAACTATAAGTCAGCCAATCCATCTACTTTCTCTTGACTCTCAAAGGCTATAAATCTTAAGACAATTTATATATGTATATATATTTCAGCGATAAAGCAGTGTGAATGAGAATGTGGAGAGATGTTTTCGTATACAAAAGTGTCAGTGTAATCTTTGGCAAGAAAGCATAGTTTGGGAAACTAATATAATTCTGGTAAAAAATTCAAACCTTTGTTATAGAAGAGCGAAATGGCACTTGACTTCATTGTAATTCCACGGATCTGTTCATCTTCCCGACTATCCATGTACCGCACCTGTGGAACCAAGAGCATATGTTACTGACCTCTTTGATAATTCCTGTATCTTAACTTATTTAACTGAATAAGCTTTACGGGCAACAGTCAACTAATCTGTTTTGCTTATTTACAAGCTACATTGAATTTGACTTTAATATAACAAAAAATATAAATTCACCTAAATGTACATATTTTTGAAGAAGCTACTAGCATGTGATATGAAATTAATCATCGGATACAATTCCAAACAATAAGCAGTGCAACCTAAAAAAAAACATCGGAGAGCTATAAAGCATAACCACATACATCTACGAAGCAGTATAATCAAAAGAAAGTATGTTGTCTCTATCATATATTAATCACAATTATAGTAGATTATTATCACGCATAGCAAGCATAAAAACAAATAGTAATTAAAAAATGTACCTTTCCAGCCAGCCTATTCGAAATTATCCCATTGCTGGCTATCAGGCAGTCAGCTAAGGTGGTTTTTCCTGAAAGAAATAACAATGTCAATACAAAATGCACAATTAATCAAGAGTGGATTTTTTTTATGTTACCACTGAACTATTAGGCATCTAGAGATCACCACACAAATCTTCGCAACAGGAATAATACTTCAAAAATCAAGAAGGAATGATACTGCAAAGGGCCGTGTGATATATGGAAGCCGTGTGCTTTTCAAAGAAAGCAGCAAACACTGCCACACCATGGTCAACGTGTGCCAAAATGCAGATGTTGCGGATGTTGCTGGTGATCTTCTGCAGGGCACCGATCTTCGCAACCTCCACGTCCTTCATGGTCACTTTAATAATCTGTAAATAACTGAACGATACAATGGACAGAAGAAAAACACAGTTATTGTTTTATGTGCAAAAGAAATTGAGGTTACTGTACTTGGTAATGTTGCACAAGCACACATCAAAAGTACCGCATTCATCATTAATATTGTCTTATAACATAATATAACAATATAATGTTTTGACCAGTGGTCCTTAATTATAATGGTCTATATTCTGCTTGGAAGAAGAGCATTCAACTAAAATGTGCCCTGATTATATATTTTTTGTTAAAGGTGTGTTCATGACAAATGTGTTGATACACACTGTAAATCTAAAATATGCAGGTAGCGTAGATAAATGTAAAGGTGACGTATTTTTACATTAACGATGAACTTAAAGTTAAGAAAAACCAGACATTAGTCCTACGATTGAATAAAACCTCATTCAAGATCTGAATTAACAAAGTCTTACCAAGAGGCATGTAACAGGGGGGCAAGCAGCCTAGCACTGTGCTCACTGACGAGTCGGTTTCACTAAAATTGACGCACTTTGTAACGTGCTGACCCAGTAATAAGTATAACCCATAAAAACAAAGTTTTTCACTATAAATCCTTTATATGCGTGGCGGCTAGAGTCCTCTCGTCCTCTGGCTTGAGATGGCTGCCACCTATGGGTCAGATGATTGCATTGCACCATTAAGTAATTGGTAATTAAATATAATATTTTTTGTCCTAAAAAGTGTAACATTTTGGAGAAAAAAAATTCACGAACATTAATTGTCACGCACAACGAGTCTGTGTGGAAAATGTCAGCTCGATTGGATCACGGGAAGTGGGTTAAAAAACGACCGAAAGATTTGCACGGTCCTAAGCAAGCAAGCGAACTTAATATAAAGGATTTAAAAAAAACGAGTCTCTCTCCATCATTACCGACTATAATCACCCAGAAATGTCTGTCCGTCCCGTGCATGACGTCACTCCAAATTAGCCCCCCCCCCATTATATATTCATGGAACGGTGGATTTTTACACTAACGCAGAGGAAGGTCGAGCAAAATTAAAAAATGTATTACGCAAAGTCGCTTCAAATATGACGTTTCTTTACAGAAAGTGACGATAAAAAAGAATTTAAGCAGCAGTGCTACATCCGTGCGTGACGTCACTGCAAGAGCCCCCCTTTCATTAATATTCATGCACGCCTGCAAATTTACACATTCCACATGCCGCGCCTCTCCCCAATAACCATTAGCGGTGACGTCACTCCACATGGGACAACCCCCCTCATTAATAATCATGAGCTGAAATAATTTTCTATTGAATATTTCATATTTACTGCAACATACACCCATCCTTGGACAGGCAAAAAATCTAGTTCACAAATAAACAACGTGCTCACCTACTAAACCCCCCCCCCCACCCCGCCGTCTCTAAATCTCTGACCGGATATTTTGTCATGTTTTGTCAACATCCTACAAGCATTTCGCTCGACACTCTGGACATTGTTTTTGTTGGCGAGCAAAAATGAGGACTTAACGAGTCACGCGGCGTTCGGAGAGCCAGCAACATTCACGTAGACGCCAACTCAGTCTCATCATAACCGCACCGACACCAGGTAATTTATTATTTTATCTTTATACGTGACTTTACCGAAAGAACCAAAGAATAATTCCTGCAGTCACGAAAGCTCCAAAATTAAGATTGAACCACTTCTACGGGGAAGTTCCAAGTTTACCTTTTTCTCTCTCTCTGGGTTTTTTGTTTTCTCTCTCTGCCTGTTTATTTAGTGTAATTTTTTCTGTCTACACTCGTTTTTTGTCGTTCTTAGGTTCTGCTCTGTGTCTCTCCGTTCCTCTTGTTTTTATGTTTTGTCTTTCTTTGGAATTTTCACACTTAAATTCTAACTTTTGAAATACGTAATCGACCAGGCTATGCGTTAATTGTGTGTTGACCGACTCTCTGTGTCGTTTTACATAACATTTCGATACTTTGCTAGCTTATTTAATTTAGCGTATTCTTTCTCCCTCTAAGCCTGCGTACTTTACTCGTCGTACTCATTGACATGTAAATTTTGTCTCTAACCCCCTCCCTCTCTCTGCCTCCGCCCCCCTCTGTCTATTTAAGGCCACCCCACAGAGACGATTACCCCTCTCTGTACCTGGGTTGCTCTCTCTGTGTATCTTGGTGATATCTGTCTGCTTATATGTCTGTTTGTGGTTTTCTGGTCAGATTTTATGTCGCTATTTCATTATACCTGATGATTGCTTGTGTTGCAATCGAAACGTCGTATGCTATTATTTAATTTATTATTTTATCTTTATACGTGACTTTACCGAAAGAACCAAAGAATAATACGGCACCAGGTAATCATTTAAACCTCGACTTAAACACGGTGGCCCAAGCCTGGCTTCAGATACACATTGGTGGCCAACGGTGATTTGGTGAGCTTACATCCTGAATTATGGTCGGCTCAGCCAATCATACTTCCATGATCGATTACGTAGAGTACAGTACATTTAAATGAGCACATGCCAAAAGTTGTTGGTTGTCCTGTGGTTGATTGGATATACAGTACTGTGTACTGTACTACAGGCATGTTGCATTTACACCCAAGCATTCAGGGTTGCCACACTGCCCAAAGCTCGCACGCGAAGACACCTTGCCCTTTCAACGAATTAAAAGCTATATATATACTCTGCGCGTGTGTTCCTCGCAGCTGTGTTAAAATTAGGTCAATAATTACTTTAGTAAATTGACGGTCCGGATTTCAAAGGCACAACTCTGGTGACGTCCACTACGCCATTACGAACATTGCCGAGGTAATGACGCGCCTGACCGCAAAGTTAAGAGTCTTTTAATAAATTTACGAAGCTTAAAACAACGTGCGTTGCAGTAGCTTTGAGACTCCGATCCAAGCTGTTTACAAGATAATTATAAAATAAACAGACAATAAGGTCACCCACAGTCGGCAAGAGGCTTTTAACCAAACCTAATTAACTGCGTGCCTCCCTGAAAACACGCGGAGCAGTATTTAAACCCTTTAAACCCGAGGCCTGGCCTCACTAAAACACATGCAGCCGACCATGCGAGCACACGTGTTGACGAACCTATTAACGAGACCCCCCCCCCCCAATCTACGGTCAACGTGCGTGCAGCCCTTACCTGAGTTTATAACAGTCCGACGTTACCGCCTCTCATCAGCCGGCACGTCGACGATACACAACAGGACTACTGTACTTGCTAGTTCATGTCGCACTGTACCGGGTATGACACGCACGTGCGTTCTCCCGCGGTCGTGACGTCACGATAGGCGTGGTCAAGGGGGAACTGACATGACGTCACCACGCACAGGGGGGCGGGGCAAAGACGTCGCTTGCGGGGAACTGACATGACGTCACCGCGCACAGGGGGGCCAAAGACGTCGCTTGCGGGGAACTGACATGACGTCACCGCGCACAGGGGGGCCAAAGACGTCGCTTGCGGGGAACTGACATGACGTCACCGCGCAAAAAAGTAACAATGCAATAAAATCTAATTTAACGCACACAAAAGAAACCCAATATAGATCAGACGAAAACTGCACTTTTAATTGTCTCCCGTAAATTCCTGAGCCCTATATGCAAGGTTCAGGAACTAAACATGTCTGAAAGGCGCTTTTAATCCTCTTGCAAAGACCGATTGCATCACTCAGAGGGCTCGGTCAAAATTTCTGATGTTAACCTCATTGCAATGTGTCAGCAACATTGTATAACTTTACTTTTAATACAAATTAGTTAATTTAGTTATATATTCATGGTTATTGAAGTCTTCTTGGTTCTTTCGGTAAAGTCACGTAGAAGGGAAATAATAAAATAAAAAAAATTTAGATAATAAAATAATTCTCACGACGTTTCGGCCACAACGCAAGCAGCCGTCCTCAGGTGAAGAACAGGTCTGCGTGACTTTACCGAAAGAACCAAGAAGATGAATCCCTGCAGTCACGAAAGCTTTAAATTGGTTATTGAAGTGTTTGCCTGTTACTCGATATCTACGAAAAGTTTACTATTCAAATGCAAAGTTTAAACGCAAGTTTAAAACATATCAAACAAAATAATAAACGACATTTTACGCCAATGCTGCTGAAATGTGCACTCCCAAAAGGATGTGGGGCTGATGGGATGTGGAAAAAAGACTTTTGTTTCTTACATGGAAGAACAAATATTCGAAGGAGACATTGCGTATTTATTTTGTTTGTTAAACAATAACAAACGTTTTAAAGATGTGGAAAATACTCTGTGGATTGAGATAAAATATCTCTCCAGAGAATGATTAGAAAAAACAAACAAGTATAATGACTGTATGTGATGCATTTACATCATTAGCATCGTTGTGAAGAACATATATATACATTGGTCATGATACATTTACAATAACGTCATAAAACATTTCCAACTGAAATACGAACACTGCAACTGCAAGAATCCACACAACTCTATTGAATTGCTTTTGTGTTGAATTTCTCGTTGAATATAAAAGCAAATCGGTATTTTCTTGTAAGTGCGCAGCTTACGTAAATGGAAATGTTAATTTAAACATCACAAGTAGTCTTTTACCCATAGAGACAAACACGGCAGTTAGTATGTCTTACATTGAACTTCATGTCCACTAAAGTTTCAACAACGCTAGCATGCACTCTTCATCTGTCACCTTTATCTTCTTCTTTGAAACGTTTTATAGTATGTCGTGATAGAAATGCAGCAGACGTTACATGCAGAGCCTCAATCTCTTCGTTGTTAAAACAGAATGGACTGAAGTTGGCAAAACTTGTTTTCATGGTTGAGCCAGTAGCTATTGTCCAGACTTTATATGGATTGGGGAGCCTTGTTTTTTTTTCCAAGGAAGCAAAAAAAACCGTGGGTGGCCCCATGAGATCTCATTATTTTGTCAGAACTTTTCTGAAGTCATTATTTTTTCTTAAGAAACATCCTAGAGCAGTTCGGTTTCAATTCCAGATCCCCTTGGTCCTCTGAAGCTAAATGAAAACCATGCATGACCATGCTTTTGTCTAACTCCTGTCATTAACTCTATGTTTGTTTGTGTTAAGCGTGCACACCGTGGCTTGCATTAATAATGGTCTCGGTTGATGGAAAAATAATGCATCAATGCGTTCTGTTCATTTGTACGTGCACTTTATTACGATAATATATATATACAGTGGACTATACAAAGCACATAGTTAATCCGATTTTTTGTATTAGCTTCTCTCCATAATATCCTATTTTGGTATTTTGGTATTGCTATAAAATTCAGGAAGTGTTACTTAAAGAAATGTTGCATTTCCTCATCATTCCCAGCAGAGGGCGACGTAGTATAGTATTCTGAATACTTACCAAAGAAAACAAAGTAAATACTGTGATACTGTGATGGTAAACATTACAGGCGACGTTTCGGGCAATGGCCCTTCATAGCACAGAAATAGAGAGACCAAAAAGATAGAATGCCTACGAGTTGAAGACTGAACTTTACACCATGCAGCCTGATGAACACGTTTTAAATTGACAAGAATAGTTACCAAACTAAAACGTTGATTGGGCCATACATTAAGCAATTCCTGAAATCTAAACTCAAACTATTTTAAACAATTAAACATATTTACAACACAGTAATTATATTCCAGTCCATAAATAGAGGTTACAATCTTCTTCTTCCTAGCGTTGTTCCCGCTGTGGCGCAGATTCCGCTTTTCGGCATTGTCTTCTCCATTTGGCTCGGTCCAGGGCATCTTCAGGGGATGCATTGACCGTCTTCATGTCTTCCTTTATTCGATCCATCCATCGCTTCTTCGGACGTCCGCGTGGACGGCGGCCCTCTGGCTCAATACGCACAGCTTTGCTATATTCACCCACAAATGTGTTTTTCAGAACATTCATCGATGGAATATTACTCAAACACTACAACACGATTATATATATTTCTTCAGGGCAACAGGATATGCAGAATGAATGGTAGATGTACCAAAACTCCACTATCAGACTCCACGTGTAAATAGAACCACGTAAAGACTCTAAGCCCTTCACTGGCTGCCAAACCAGTGCCATCTGGGAGCTTCTTTAAGAACTGAAGAAGCAAGTGGAGCAAAGCATCAGACATCATTCCCGAACAGCACATAGTACAACCTGACAACACATGGGAAAGCTATCCTCCATGGACTTGCCCCTAACTCTACCTCTCCTCTCTCATCTGATCCACTCTACTCCCCCTCACATCATCTATGCTCCAGCAACCAAGGCCTCTTGAAGCCCCCAATAAATGTTCTCTGTGGGAGGTCGTTTATTCTTCTTTGCTGCTCTCATGGTTTTGGAACTCTCTACCCTCAGCCATCCGTTCTCTTGACACCCTACTTCCTTATTCCATTTCCTACTGAGGCAAAGATTGGTGGCAAACACAGATATGTTACAACTCCCAAATCTACTGACCTGTGAGGTGACCACCTCCGATTATGATCACAGTTGGCTACGTATGGTGTGAAAGAAGTTCAACATACATACAAGATAGTGATACAGAAAGTGGATTCATGAACGCATCTGTGTAGACGTTTCCGTGTTACCTCATTGTATGCATGGTGCAAGACGCAAAAACCTAAGAATATGATAAAGAAGCAAACACTCTGTGTAAAGCAATGGTCCAAACATTCCAATGCAGGACCATCATTAAAAAGAGTCTTGACATTTAGCAAATATTTCCTGGATACACAGATAACATTAGCTGAGTATTGCTACTACATTCCATGATATTGCTTCAAACAGTTATAAACCTTTAACTCGACAAAATAATATTTCAGTTGCACCCTGTCAGGATCTCAACAATGACAGTATCATGCATCACAATGTGGAAGCTGGCCAAGTGCCTTCTTAAAGCTCGAGTCAAAAATATCATTAGCAAATTAGACGTGCAGATGCTCTTATAAACCACCTACTATCCAAACCTTTCTGGAGAAAACTGCAAGGCTGTAAAAATGCATTTGCATGATTGCATGCATTCGTTATGTGATTGCAAAACAATGCCACGAAATACTCTTAAATGAAAATACGATCGTTTTTGTTTGTGCATTAAATTACTTGAGCGTTGTCGTTGTGAAATAGTCCCATAATTCGAATTGAGCTCTTGCAAAATATCTAATTTTAATAAAATGTCTGTACTTGTAAAAATAGACCTTTAATTGCATTCACTAAAAAAATTGGTGAAAATATTATGATTGATCTTATTGACAATACAGTATTATGAATGCTAAACAATATTCTGATTATAATGTTAATATACAAGCCAACAAATTATTATTTTATAGAAAGATGAAAGGCTCACTAGATTGGCGTGCACAGAGCGATGGCGCATCAGAGCATTGCTCACGAGGATCTACACTTTAGCAAAGCCTCAAGCTATTTTCAGCATAGTTTCCAGTGACCACCTGAGTTCAATTCCCGGCTCGGTAATCCTGGGTGCCCTTCCACTTGATAAACCCACACGGACCAACGTAGTGAGGTAATAGATCAAACATCCCCCATGGCTGGCACAGCATGAGGATGTCTTCATCCACCACTGGATTGGACAAAGGGTTGTAAATTAAAATAATTATTAAGTTGAAACTACATATTGATAACACATTGAGCACAGCTTGATACAAGTCTCTTCCCAATGAATATAAAATTGCATTTTGTGAGGCATGTAAATATATCAATTTTAAAGCTGTGAATGCATAAAGGATTGGATCCTATGAGGTGCTCAGTTTTATCACAGACCTTGTGAAGAGAAATGCGCTGGCTTAATTTATGTGCGTACAATTAGCGCTGACATTGAAGCATTTCTCACTAGGATTTACACTTTTGAAAAGCCTCAAGCTATTTTCAGCATAGTTTCCATTTTGCTCTGATCGTCAGGCCCGTCGCTTTTGCACATGACCATGTAGGTTGTTTTTAGAATCCAGATGGGATAACTGCAAAATATAACTCCGAATTTTAATTTATTTTCTCTGACACTGTGCTGCAGTCAGCTCAATGACAGTTCATGGAAAAGCACGAATATAAGCAAGTTCTTTGTAGAGCTGTTGACGTTGATTATCTACTCTTTAACTTGGCAGTCAATATTCAAGTATGCAAAATCAAAGGTGAAACTGTGTAAGCATATGTTTTATAAATACAAATGGCTTTGGTCCATGCGCATTCCTTTGGCATATATATTTTTTGCTCTGCAAGGAAGAACTGGTAAACTCTAACCATAATAATAAACGTGTCTACAAATTCGATCCATTTCCATAGCATGTGACAC